CCAAAAAGATTCACTTTCAATCCATTTAGAACCAACCATTATAAATCTTATAAATCTCTAGATTGCGATTGCAAAAAAAAAAAAAAAAATCTTAACTGCTTTCAGTTTGACGCAAAAACCCCTTGGCTGCTTTCAGTTTAAAGCAACTGTTAATCAATAATGCATGAAAAAAAACGTGATAGTATTAGGGTAATAATGACGCGCTACATGCAAAATAGAGTGAAAAAATCAAGGTTATGAAGGCATTTACTGATTAAAGCTTTAGTTTCTAAATACAACATTAAGAAAGCAAGAAAAAATACGAAAGGAATGCATGTGAAATTTTTTAAGGTCTCAGAGTTACAAAAATGTAAAGGACAAAATTTTACAGCATTCAAAAATTCAAGATGAAAACTAAAGCAAAAGTTCCAGCAGATTTCACACAACAAACTTTTGTCCAGACAACTAAAAAGAATCTCGACAACTAAAAACAAAAAAAGAATTGTGCGAATTCTAACAATACATAAAAACCATTACAGCAACTCCAAAATGTAAAATAAATTAGGTACTGCATAGTGCACTTGTTAAGAGAATCAAGTAATAGGCTGTGATAAAAATTATAAAAAAGCACAAGCATGCCTATAAGGCAAAATAAAATTGCTATAATAAAAGAACCATAAAGAAGAATATCCTTCATAACTAAAATATATTATGATAATAAATATTATATATTCTAATAAATATTAAGCACATGTGATAACATTATCATGATAAACTAATAATTCTAATTATTCTAACTCTCACAAACTCATGATGCGACAACAAAAGCATCAAGAGTTTGTATCTTGCAATACAAACCAAGAGATCCAAGCCAACAGTAGTGCAATAGCATTTCAAAATAATAGATTTGAGACCATCAACACTTCAATAAGACATTCTACAAAACAAATAAGAACGAACAGAAGATTGATGTTGGGGCAATCATTGCCAAGACCGCACGTAACAAGATCAACACGAGAAATAGGATCCTTAACAAAATTTTAGTGAGATCCTCATAGGATCATAAAACAGGAAACTAAGGGTGTGTTTGGGACAGCTTGTGCTTATCCAGATAGGCTGCTTATTTGGAAACGCAGACTGCGGGGTTCGACCCGCGTTCCTCGTTTAGTGTAAAAAATCAAATGTGTTTTCGGATAAGTTGCTCAAAAACAGTTTTCAAACGGTGAGGCGGCATTTGAAAATGGAGCCTAAGATGAATCATAGTTCGACGAGACAGGACAAAATAATACTAAGCCTAAAGATGCAAATTATAGGCTAGTTGAAGACGTCGATGCTAGATGCAATCGACAGTGTGAGTTGACAGAAGCAACATCGCAAGCAAACACAAGCAATAGCATAAGTTAGCGTAAGCTACCAAGGTAGTGATGGTGTGGAAGTGGGGAGCACTTGAGTGGCAATATGCAAGCAAGTGAATCAGCACGTGATTGAGCGAAGAGATGGCAAGTGAATCATAATTGAGTGAAATGCCTGCACTTGTGAAGCAATATGCGGGTAGGTGAAGAGTGTGAAGTGGTGGCAAATAGCAAGCTAGGTGTGATGGATCATAAGTTCATGAGTCAAGGGCGACAAGAGATGAATGACAGCATTATAAGATGCCAATCTAATCTTTATGGGATCCTCTCCACGGGCTCTTCACAAAACAATTGCAAGAGATGGCAAACACAAGTCTGGCTTCGTCAATCAAAACCACAATGAGAGATGAGATCTTCACCAGATAAAAGATGACAGACATGGAGTTGTGCCCCCGACACCATGAAAAAAAATATATATATCAAGAAGTTGCATGCTTATTTAAATGATCTAATCCTAACACAGGCATGCCAATGTAAATGTAAAAGAAAACATCAAAAAGTACAGCAAATAACTATTATAGATTCCTTATAAATAAAAAGCATCTTCTATAATATTAAAACAAATAGTTCTAGAAATTTTAACAAATTATTCCCTAGTTAAAATCTCTCAAGTTGGAAAATGAAAAATTAAAATTTTATTATTGATAAAATGCAAAAAAAATAATAAAGTGCTAACTAAAAATAATTATTGACTATCAAAATAAAGCATGAAAACAAACAACATGCCAAAAATATATGATGCAAAAGAAAATTTTAAGCTCATCAGGAATGCAATTCATGCATACTAATTTTTTGTTTTTGTTTGTTAATTCATTTAAGTGCAAAAATATGCCTATGATGATGGCACCCAATTGAAAAATATGTGTTTTCTAGTATTTTGAATTTATTTTTTAGGATTTTTTCATTACAATGAGGTCTTGATTAAAGTCATTCAATTCCAAATCAACCTAACGTTTAGAATCATTACTACATCAATTGCTACTATTTACAGTTCACTACTACCCATGCTTCTGTTTCTTCATTTTTTTTCACGTTGCTGCATTGTTTCAACCATTTGCACTGCTTGTCGCCTTCAGTTGCTAGCCCTTTCACTGCCACAACAGTCTATTGGCTGATCACTATCTGCAGCAGCTGCTTTCAAGAATTGTCTTTGTTCCAATCCCACAAGCAAATATTCAAAACAAGATTCACCACCACCCAATTCATGTTTATGGATTTAATTAAAACATTTCTATTCTTAAAATTTATGAGGGAACAATTGAAACTTGTGGTTCTTTATTAAATTTTGAAAGATTCTATGAAATTTCTACATTTAGACCCATTGCAACTTATAAATGGGAACCTAATGTATGTAAAATTCAATAAAATTTGTGTATTGAAATAAGATTTCAGTTTTTTTTTATATACCATTTGTCCAGATTTCAATTTCTACATTTTTTCCATGCCTGTTGGACGTGTATTCTTTAAGGGCTTCACAAGTGTGGACAAATACTTAAACAGAGAACAGAAATTTGAACAAGCGAGGCACAGTTCTTATGGGTAATTAACTTTCATCACTATTTTTACTTTATTTATTCGTTGATCTGGTGTATGATTGAATTTAGTCAGGATAAGTACTAAATTTTCTTCTGATACGTGAGCTAGAATGTTACTAAAATTTTAAATTTGGTTATTGCTTTTATGTAAAGTTCCAAATTTCCTTATGGCTATTAAATTATCTTTTGAAATGGAAGAAGTATGTAAGCTACTTTTACATTAAAAGTTCTGTATTTTTGTTAAAGTGAATAGTTGGCAGCATTGAGAACTTTAGGTGTTTCAACTCACACCTCATCCTACATTGTATTAGAAACCATAGTCCCATAATTGTCCTACATCAATATCCATCATGGCAATGGATGGACCGCACTTACAAGTTAAGGGCATTTATTTTGCTTGGAGAAATATTAAAATTCCATAAAAGAAATGCAAAAAAAATTGAAAACAGAGAGATTGAGCAATAAATGTGCATTTGCTTTTTCAGCAAAAACGTCAGCTAATATTCATATGATAGATTCTTCAAGTCATGGTACCTTTTATGTGGAGCAACTTAAAGCAAATTTAAAAAGTAAAAAGTTAACAGTCTATAAAGCATGAATTTTCTAAAAAAACTAACTAAAAAAATGTTTACCTGAACTGAATATAGGTTTATGATGCCTATTAAACATCAATCATAAACTAATGAAGATAAATTTATCAATTTATCTATCTACATCATTGGTGTCTATAAAGGAGATAATGACGATAGGTTTATCAATTTATCCATCTGCATAATAGGTGTATATACAGAAAACCATGCCTCAATGTAATCACCATCTCATCATGGTCTCAATTAATTCAAGTTTATAAACAAGGGGTGTATTTGGAATTTGAAAGAAGTGGTATATAAAAGAAAACAAAAGTTTTACCTTTCCCATAGATTCCATTTGTTCACCCATGAAAGAAAGAGAAGTTGGAGTATACAGAGAATCCTCTGGCTATTCTTGCTTTGTTCGTTTACTCAATAAAAAAGTGTTGGAAACTCTAATTTCTCCATTGTGATAATTTTCTTTCTTTAGTGAATATCAATTTTCCGAAAAACTTGTGATAAAAACACACCCTCTATTTAAGAAACAGTGAACGCATTCTCTCTACATCAGAAAACAAAATAATCGGTCAATATAAAAACTTTTCTATTTCAAGTGAGCGGACGAGGATGTCCTCACTTTCGAAGAAGGTTTTTTGAAGAAACAAAATATTCTTGGCATTTAAACAAACATAACCATCAATGGAAAGGAGAAAAACTTGGCATTTAAAACTTATTTTCTTCACCCTAAGAAAACAGGCACAAAAAATCAAACATTTATTATAATATGACCTGAACCATTCATGTCCCATTTTTCTTACAAGAGCATGAAACCTGAGTCACGTCCTACGATATATCTTGCAGTCAACCCAGAAATTTACTCAATTCTATAATCAAATTAGTAGCAACCTCTAATGGATATTTAAGTGTTTCTAATGCAAAATTTTCAGAAAACACATTCTACCAATTGCCATAAAAGTTAGAATGTGTAAGACAGTAAAACAAGAAAAGCCAATTTGGCTTAGAGATTTCTCTAGCAGCTGAAAAAAAAAGGGTAAAAATACAATCTTAAACTTCTGCATGCAATTCCAAATTATCAATCCCATAAGAAAAAGTATTCATTCTGCAATAAAAGTAAAAGCATTTCAGTTTTAAGGGCTATCTGCAGCATCTCTCCTACGAAACAAACCAGCATCGTAAGATGCCAGGAATGCAAGGCAAGCTGAATCCTTGATCACCATCAGACAAATGATAATAATAAATATATATTTCAGCTACCAAATATGCCAACAAAGACCATAAATAGCTTAAAATTAAAGCATATCATTATACGGACTTCCTCACTAACCTCCGTAATGATAAGCCTAGAACCTTACTCATGCAAAATCCATACAGTAAAAGATCAAATAGTGAATCACAGAGAAGAATCTCCTCTTCCAGAGAGATTACAGGTAAGAGGGCGGGCGGGTAAAAAATATAGAAAATTTAAAAAAGAACAAGGGAAATACCAGGAAGAAATCGAAAGACGCCAAACAGCAATAAAAGCAATTGAAGTCCTAACCTCTAACTCCCGAGCTAATAATCAATTAGAGGATGCAGAAAAAGCAAGCATTTTACTGGGGAGCGGCGAAGTCCGCCCATGCAGAAACCCTAGAGAGAGAAAAGTTTGAATGAGAGGTGAGAGACTGGGTACCGAGTGGTCGCAGTGAATCAGATGCGTGGAGCTACGTGTGGAGCTGACCAATTAATTGTGTATAGGTGGCATTTGTTCATTGGATGTATTGACAAAACTGATGTCTTCTTCCGGTCCTATGCGGTGCACCCTTTCGTGACACCTTGCGGTATTTCCGCATGGAAATTCTATGCAGCCGTATGAAGTCTATGTAACCTCCCGCATTAGAAGGTTTTAATTCTGTACCGTTTTATTTATTAGGCCGCGCGCAGCAGGCCAACTACTACAAAAGCGAGTCAGCAGGCTCTCCAGGCGCTTTTGTCGAAAGGGTGGGCCATTGCCCTGATTATGGTGCTCCATTGAATCGGAGGACAACAGTTGACTCTCTAAATGCTCTTTGTAAAAACTGTTGAAGTGGTTAATCGATGTTGGTAAAATATGATCAGCTACAAGAAGAGGTGTGGCCATCGCATTTGCGGCACAATCATAAGCGTTGGGGCATAATCAACAATGGCATTCTTCTATGGTTGGACATCAGCATGGGTCTCATGGGCGAGTGATCTTCTATGGTTGGACATCAGCATGGGTCTCATGGGCGAGTGACTCATCTGCATTAAGAATAATGTCAATGAATTACTAAAGATTATCAAAATCTGAAAAAATCTATATACTCAGAAGTTTGCTCAATTCAGAAAAAGTGACAAAAAAATCATCGGTTCCTTGTCTCGGGGGGACGGTGTTCTTATTACGCAGTAGGGGCGGAGGGAAATCCGCAGCAGCTTTTTTCTTGGTGCCCTAGCCACCCACTGTTGCTTCGGTAGGTGGGGTGGCATGCAGATCTTCCTCGGCAATTACACCAATGTTGGGATCGAAAGTAAAGAACTCCTGGCGAGAATCTGATTTCATTGACCTCTTCGGTACCCAGCTACCAAGACCCTCTGAAGAAGCAACTTGACCGACTATTTCAAGTTCAGGCGTCGATTGTTTTCTTTTTCTTTATAAATTTTTTTCTTTTCGACTATGGACAGAGCAGAAAGTCGAAAGCTTTCCAAAGCTTACAAGCAAACGTCGTCTTTCTTACTCACACTGTCGGCCATATTATCACTCGAAGGAATAAATCTTAGAACTTCAAGACATATTAATAGAACTCAAGAAGCGTGAAAATTAAAGGGAAATTTATTATTAAATTAATTCTCTCAATTATTCTGCCAATTGTTACCTTTAATATTTTTTATGTCCTCAGCTATTGCTATCAAAGAAAATCAAGAAACTATTATGTACAAGGCAAAAATGACAGCGTGAATATCAAAGGGATTGGACGATCAAATATGAAGACCCGGGCGATCAAAATTTCAAACGAAAAAGCAAATACTGTTAACCGACCAACCTGAAACAATCGATCGGCATACCTGACAACCGACAATTTTGGTGACCGGCTGACCCATCAGGCAAGATGATGTGATTGAGTGATCGAAGGATTTTCATCAATCAACTGGATCCCTCGGCGAAAGTCATCCGATTGATTGATTTGATCGATCAATCTGGAATTTCAAACAACCGATGTATATCGTATTTTCCTTGTATTATAATGTAATATTCATTCGAATAATTCAATTATTTGAGTAGTTATCATGACTCTCGTCTCCTTTTTGTAAGTATACATTGAGGCCCCCCGAATAAAAAAGGCGGTCTAGGCATAAGTAAAGGCATGACATTTCTCTCCCACTCTACTCTCCAACTCTCTCTATCTCTCTCCTCGTCTTCTCTGCTCTATCTCTTGCGGCGTGTTTCTCGAAAGATAATTTAAGATTCAACAATTTTATTTAATGTTTTGCATTTGTTGGAAAAGTTATCTGATGCCGAGCAACTCTTATGAAACGCATGGTTTAGTCATAAACCATTAGGGACCAACTAAGTTATTTGAGTGAATGTGTTTAAATTCACCTAAAAGCTTAAAATATATATATATATAATAGCAGCCAAATCTTTCATAGTTTTGTGGCTATATGAAAATGGATGTCCAACTTTAAATAAAAGACTTCAATATTTACGAAGATTTTTAAGGAATACTTTTTCACCATTAAATTTTATTACTAATTTTATAGATAATTACACTTTGCGACAAATGAACAATTGGAGTATTTTTTTGTCCCGTTAAATGAACCATTAGAGTTTTCTAATAGCCAAATATTGTCATCTAATTAACTTAACATGTGTCACTTAAATTAAATTCATGACTAAATCATGTTCATAACATGCTACCAGACAAGGTCTTAGTGTTGCATGAATATATGGTGCACACACAAATAAATAAATAAATAGTGGAATGAGATACCGAGATTTTATAGATGGAAAAAATTCTAGAAAGGGAAAAAACTCTGGGGTGTGACTCATTCAAAATAATTCATCATATGTTTGTAAGCACAAGAATACACCAGTCTCTTGTGATATGGAGAACTGGTTCACAACCTTATACAAAAAGTTACACTTGTCTTTATATTATTGAAAAAATACATGTGTTAGGATATTAATTTAACAACAATCCTAGCCTGACAACAATGGTTGTAAGCAATGATTGTTGGTGGTAGGTGGTCCACGGCGGTAGGCGGTGAGCCTTATACAAAAAGTTACACTTGTCTTTATATTATTAAAAAATACATGTGTTAGAATATTAATTTAACAGCAATCCTAGCCTGACAACAATGGTTGAAAGCAATGATTGCTGGTGGTAGGTGGTCCACGGCAGTAGGCGGTGAGTAACGGTGGCGGTAAGTGAAGAGAACGACATACTTATAGTTTCTTTCAGGGTAATTTGGAATTTTGGAGCATAACTACTCTAACTAAATGATTAGACGTTCCATGTTTACCCTCCTTGATCATATATAATTTTTTTTAAGAATTTGGGTACTTTTACGATCTCGGAAGACGCTCTATGAACATGTCGAATTTGAAATTTATTTGATGATTTAATTGACGATCTAAAGCCCTCAATTGTGCTTCAACAGCTTGATATAGGCTTGATTGGACTTGAATTGAACCAATTTTAAAGTTAGATTCGTTGGATTCGTTTTGCCTAAACGCTTATTTTGATTATAAATATGAGAAAATTGGAGCTTGGTTGATCGTGAATTTCAATTTGAGAGATCTCTTATCAAAAATGTATCAAGATTTGTACTTGATGATATAAAATTTAAGATATAACACTAATGATTGATTTCAACTTACTTATAGTCAAATTAAACATTTCAACAAGACGAATCTTATGAAAAATATATATATATATATATAAATTAAACATTTCAACAAGACGAATCTTATGAAAAAAAAAATTTATATTTTTTTTATCCAAGTATAATTGAACCCAAATAAAATAAATGAAACATAACTAACAATTTTATAACACTAATTGAAAAGTTAAATCATTTATAAATCTTGTGTGTTCACATTTTAAGTGAGTGTTTTAATAAGATGAAATCAACCTCATTTAATTTTGAGCTCATTAAGCTATATAAACATCAAAAAAAGTACCCTAAATAAATACAAGTCTTTCAACGCCCTTTTTAATATTTTGGTTAAATTTATCAAAATATTACTCAAAATATTTGTCAATAAAACATTGTTACTTAAAAGATGGAGATTTTTACTAAAATTTAAAAGATCCTATAGTTTTGAAAAGCTACAAAGTCTGTTTTGACAACCAAGGCCAATAATGTCAAAACCAATAATCATCATCGTGCCGTCTATCACCACCTAACTGACAGTCACAAGTCGTCATTTCCTAATTCATGCCGCTCCATTATCATTATTTGCATGATTTTCTAATTATCATCACCCAATATTCATCATCTAACTACCATCTCTTGCCCACCAGGATCACCATTCATTGTTTCTCTGACAAGCACTATCACAATCATAAAACATCAAGTACTCCTATACTGAAATTTCATTTTATTTAAATGGAAAGAACAAAACTTTGTGGACTATAATATAGTCCATCATTTTATTTGGCCAGGCATTTTTTTTTCCCCTACAGAAGCGGAATAATACTTTTTTAGATTTAACTTCAATTAACTTGTATTGCTAGAGTCCACCAAATTACCTGCAGTTGAACTTATCGTTTACAATTTTTAAAACATGATGCGTTATGCTACACAAGTTGTCTTCAAACGATGTTCATATTGATTTATAATAGATCCTGTTATTATATTAAAAATAGACTGATGTGTCCTGGAACAAAAACATAACTCTTCCTGCATGATATGTATTATGCTAAGGGCTTGTTTGCGATCAATTTTACTGTTTTTTTTATTTTTGTATTCTCCTTTTTTTTAATTATGTTTATTTAGTGTGTTTTATATATATATATATATATATATTTTAAGTTGTTCAGCTTTTGATAGACTTCTAACATTTAGATCTTTAGTTTTTTTATTTATTAAGAATTTAACTTTGCAGCGCTTCTCAGCCAACTAGTAAAAAATTCAGCGGGTGGCGCAAGACTCAGAAAGCATATGGCGGAAGACGACGACAGCATGATTGTGCATGGCGGCATCATCAATTCACTATAATAGTGTTGCTCTTTGCGACAGTCTCAAAAGAGGATTCTATTAACTATTATATCAATTTTATGGCCTGAAAGATGGTTGCAAATGCTGAAACATGACTCAGATAAAGAGTTTTGAGACCACTAATATGTCATGAACTCACTATAATAATGCAGCTTGTTCTTTGTGAGTCTTAAAAGAAGATTCTTTATCTACTATTATATTGATTTTGTGATTGGAGAGATGGTTGCAGATGTTGAAATGTGACCCACAAATGAGTTTTGAGATCGCTGATCTTTGTTATGAAGTACTTTTGTGATTCTCGGTTGTTATAAATGTTTTAGATGAGCTGGCTATTTTTGTTGTGATTGTTTTTGTGATAAGGGGGATCGTAAATTGTTGATTATATGGACCGTAGATCACCGTGATCTACGGCCAGGATCGAACACCGCATGCAGAGATGCATGC